CCTTTTCTACAATAAATCAGAAGTTTGTATGTCCTTGTTATATCTGTTTAATTCTGCAGTCCAGTTTTCTGGGAAGAATTTGGATTCAAATTAACTGTAATAAACACAGGCATTATTGGATTTAATTGGATCTGCTTACAATATCATCAACTCCAATCCACTTTTCCAAAAGGTTTTCCAGTTCAGTATAAGAAATGAATATGTCAGTTACTTTCCACTTTTATGAATTAAGTCCACTAATGTCAATTTCTGCTTTTTTTTTCTTATAAAAATAACATTTTAACAGGATTTCCTTTTATTTTAGCCAATTTTAGAAACATAAGTTGTTTATAAATCAAAAGATAAATAACTCTAATTCTGTAGGAATAGTCCAATACTATTTTATCATAAAGATAAAACAAGCTAACTGCAGCCTTAATTTTTCCTCTATCGCAGTGATGGCTAACCGTTTTGTAAAGGCGTGCCAAAATTGTGTGCGCGCGTGCTATCACGCATGCCAGACCCACAATGGAATCTGAACATGCGCCCCCTCCCTGCGCATGTGCTCCCACCCCAATGCAGTGGGGGGGTTTTCACCCTCCCCAGGCTCCGGAGACTTTCCTGAAGCCCGGGGAGGGCAAAGACAGCGTCCCGTGGCCCTCCGGAAGGCTGAAAATCAGCTGGCCAGTACGCGCATGTGTGCCGGAGCTGATCTTTGGCATACCAGCCATGGTCTGTATTAGATACAGCTTGAATAATCTGAATTTAATGCTATACTAATGGGAACCCAAAATGACTATGCTAAAAAAACCACCTATAATTAGTCCTAGGATCAATCCATGCTTTCACGTTACAAAAAATTCTTCTTTGGCAGTTGCAAAAACTTTATTCAGTTTTTGTTCCACGTCTTGTAAGATCACACATATGACTAACAGTAAAACAAAATCTCACTATTAAAATCAACAATCAAAATGAATTCTAGCCTTTAAGTGTGGGAAAAAAAAGAATATTTTATTACTCTTCCAGAAGTTGTAACTGATTTGGATACTGACATTTTTGAAAGAACTGAACTCTACAATTGTGGGTTTTCTCCTTTTTCTACATAAAAATGTGATAATTGTAATAATATGGCAATAGTTACCTATTTATAGTAGAAAAATCAATTTGTTGCATCCATTTGCCAAGCATCAAAGAAATGAAGACCTTGATAGACCATCTGTAGTTCTTAAAGCAAATGCTGTATTTTCTATTCCCGCTTAAGCAGAGAGAAGAGGTCTGGTTATTATTAGAATACTAATCAAGAAGGAAACAGAAGTCCACTTCTCTTCCGCTCTCCCCCTTCCTTTCCCAAAATTGGCAGGGGAGAAATGTACACATTTGAAAATAAGTAGAGACAGAAATTAAAAGGCTAAATATCTGCAAACAGCAGGGAGCATCAATAAAATATTGCTATAAATAACTGACAAATTTTTCAGGTGTGCATTCAGTGTCTCTCCTTTTTGCATTTATTAAGCTTTGAGTGTCTTCCCCCTCCCCAATTTCTTATCATTTTATAAGAAAAATAACCTTTAACATTTGAGGCGCAGATTATCTGTAACTGATATCTATTGCATACTGTCTATTATATCGCTGATGATAAGTGGCAGAAATCACCTCTCTCGCCCACATCTCAACTATGGCCTCTGCATGCTGAAAACTGAGCCTAGCCAGAACATTTGTGTTTGATTTCATTTTCACTTTCATTAGTACTGAAAAGCACCTTAGTTTGTTTCCATGTGTTTTTAATTTCTTCCTTTAAACTTGGTCAGTTTTCACCCTGGATATTAGAAGAAATTGTGCAATACCTTTACACGATGATCTAGAAGCTCTGGGGACTTGCTCATTCACCCCACAAGCAATAACTCTGAGGAGCAACTGGGATTTAGGAAGCGAAGGAGTTGGAAGCTGCTCCTTGAATACCTGAGTTAAAACACAGAAGCAAAGTTGGGAGGGGCAATTTGGGCCATCCAACGTCTGGCTGAATGCAAGAATCCAAATTATAATTTCCATGACAAATGACTATCTGCCTCGTGGTAGAAAGTATCCGGTGGAAGAGAATCCATTGCCTGTCTGAGTAATTGATTCTACTGTTTTACTACTTCTACCATTAGCATTTGTTTTTCAATCAGAATGTGCCCTTTTGTAACTTCCATCCATTACTCTGATATTACATGGTTTTGGATAAGAGAAAAGTGTGATTGTGTCCTGACCCAAAGTCTGCTCTTCTGAAAAATAAACATTTCTCCAGTTTCCTCAATCTCACTTCACAGGACTTCTCTGGATTTCTCCCTGTTTATTTGAACCTTTCTTAAAATGCTTTGCCAGATATGGACCAATACTTAAAGGGAGGTCAGCCCAACACAGAATAAAGTGGACCTATTATGTTCACTGATTTGTAACACTATATTTTTGTTGCTGTAGTCAAAATGTGCATTTACACTTTAGCTATGACACACTACTAAATTATATTCACTTTGCTATCAATCCCTGTTCCAATATCTTTTCCAGAAATACTGTTATCAAACTATCTTCCATCCCATACCATATTTGTGCATTTGACTTTTGCTTTTTAAGTGAAGAATTCTGCATTTGACCTTTGTTAAATGTCATAATATTATTCTTATCCCATTTCTCTAATATAGCAAGATGAGTTTGAATTTTCTTCTAGGGTGCTGGTGTCCCCAGAAAGTGCACTTTTTTAACATTAAGGGAAGCAAGCAAACCAGTTTAAAAAGAGTTTTTTAAACAGTTTTACCTAATTAAGCTGTAATTAATTTCTGATGTCTGTGGGAATAGCAAAGAAAATCTCCCAGTGATTGTCTAATCTGTTTTGGTTTTCTCTATAAATATTTATATAAAAATACAGATCTGCAAACATTCTATTGAAATGCCAAATCAATCTACAAAGAAGGTTCTCTCTATGGCGGAAATGGAGCAATCCAATAATTCTAAATATTTTTCAGTTGGAGGCTCATTTAAGACCTTACTATAGGTATTTTTCTTCACAAAATGACATGAAAGGTAGTAGAGGTAAATGGGTATATTAAAAATATGGATTTATTTCCCATGAAGTACATGGTTGAATTGTTCTGAAACATTCTTTCTAGAATCTCTCAGACTTTCCTACTCTATTTAGCTTTGCCTTTTTTTCCTGGACAGGCAAACATTCTTCCAAAAATCCCATTGGGTTTAAGCCAGATCTCTCCCTTGTTTTGCAAAACCCTTTTATTGAGTTTGGGTGCTTTGCAGAAACAAAAGTCTGCACTAGGTGATGGAACCTGGATTGTAACATGTCAACTAACTGGAGTTTATCTACAATTACAATGGGCGAAGTTCTTGCAAAAGTTGCTTTCTTTGGAAATATCTTCTATCCTGTATGCATTAGCATAGTAATAAGCATTGGCCCATCACAATTTTCTGTAGATAATATTTTAAGAAATGAAGAAAATAAGTAAATGGCACCCCTGATGGAATTTAGTCACTTTGAACTGGATTATTTAATTATCCGTGTTTTCCCATCCTGCCTTATTTACACATTAAGTATTCATTGTTTTCAGAATTCATTCTTTAACTGTAATCCCAAGAGACAGTATCCTATTGTCCTAAATAGCACAGTGATGCTTTCTTTAAAGAAATACTGCCAGCATATTTTATCTTAGGTAAATTTAAGAGATAGCATCCTCAGGAGCAGAATGAATTAGTAAGAATTCATGATGCATATATATCAGCCTGAGCACTGTTATGGATAAAAGGAAAATAGTTTTAATAAGTAAGGATTGAAATTTTTTAGAGCTCGGTACTTCCACTGAAGTGTGTGTTTACATATACATGCGGTACTTAAGTGTTGGACCGATTCTGAATTTAAAAAGCGCATTGTCTTGTCAAAATACATACCTTGCGAGTGATTACTATAAGATTTCATTTTTTATAAATGATATGAATACAGTTAGTCCTTTGATTTACACCCATTCATTTTTGAAATTGCAACAGCATTGAAAAAAGTGACTTACAACTGTTTTTCACACTTCTGACTGTTACAACATATGGGGGGGGATTCATGATCAAAATTTGGACATTTGGAAATTAGCATGTATTCATGATGGTTGCAGTGTCTCGTGGTCATGTGATCACCTTTTGCAACCTGCTGATCAGCAAAGTCAATAGGGAAGCCACATTCACTTAATAACCATTTTACTAACTTAGCAGCTACAAGCAGTGCCAGAGATTCGCCATCACGGGCCTAAGCGTATTGCATTCTAAGCGTATTGCATTCTAACCGCGGTTCTATGATGAGAGATTGTAAAATGGGGCAAAGCTCCTTTAACTGTCTTGCTCAGCAATGGAATTTTTTGGCTCAATTGTCGTTGTAAATCAAGGATTACCTGCCATCAACTACCTTTTAGGCTGCTTTAAATGTTCAATTTTAAAAATTTGAAAGTTCAATTCTTAATTGTCTAAATATTTTGGAAGCCATTTTAACTATTTAACCAAAAAAAGTTTCATTCTTTTCTTGTTGTATCTCCTCCCTCCCCTCCTCCCTCCCTCTCCTTCATCACTCTTTCAAGATAAATTTTTTTAATCCCTTGGGGAAGGAGGGCATTGGAAGGAAATGATGCGGATATCATTCCAATTTAGGAAAGTTCAACAAGAGTATTACATCCCTAACTGCAGTCATTGGTCACTGATACTGCATATCTACATTGATCAATAGTATTTCATTTTCTGATACTGCATATCTACATTTCTTTTAATATGGAATTTTGAATGTATTTTGTGTGCTCCTTTTCATAGTTGTCATGTGAATGAATCTAATCTTGGTAGTAAACCTGCTGGAACCCTACGGTTGGTAGCCTCTGTCGGTGGATTAGAACTCCTGGGCCGTCTTGCTTGGAAACAGGGCAGTCAGGATCTTGGCCAGCTGTGTGAAGATTGACCATGAATTCCAACCTCTCCACAACTAAAACGAATGTTTCCCTTTTCAGACACGCTTTGGGGATGTCCCAACCAATAGGCCTCATAATGACTCAGCCTTGGAAGAAGATGCTGATGATGAACTAGACCCAGGAAGCAAGTAAGATATTTGGGGTGTGATCTGAGGGTTCATTGACAGAATTCTACCCCCAGGACCAATGGGGGTAAAACCAGTGGAGAATTTTCGGGAGAACTCTAAAGAACCAACAAAGCAAATATGGCACAGTTGGTGGGAAACCTTGGATTACTCTTGAGTGCCACTCAGAGGCAAGGCAGGCAGACAGAAGAATCCTCAGCAGTAACTTAAATTATGGAGAAACAGAACAAATAATGGGAAGCGAAAAACAGAATTTTTGTGAAAACCTTCTTGTGAAAAGGCAGAAAATAAATAAAGTAGAGGGAGCCCTTTATTGACAATCACAGTTGGGAGCAAAATTTCCATGGTTAGGAAGAAGATTGTTAAGTGAGTTGTGCCTAATTTTATGACCTTTTTACCGGGATTGTTAAGGAAATTACCACGGTTGTTAAGTGGTTGTTAAGTGGGGTCATGGGACTGTTAAACAAACCCAGCTTCCTCCATTGACTTTGCTTGCCCGAAGCTGCCTAGGAAGGGAGCAAGCGGCTATCACATGACTTTGGGATACCGCAACTACCATAAATGCATTCTGGTTGCTAAACACCCACATTCTCATCCTGTGGCCATGGAAATGCTGTGATGATTGTGTGGTGGCTGTTTAGAAGTCACTTTTTTCAGTACCATTGTAACTTTGATCAGTCACTAAATGAATGGTTGTAAGTCAGGGATTGCCTGTATTAAAAGTGTTGATTAACTTGCAGCTGGGATAGAAGGTATAGAAAGTAACCGATGGAATGAAGGATAAAGTGGAACAATGTGATTTATACAGGAAAAAACAATGTACAAGCACTCCGTGAACCAGCAATTCAAAACCTGTATCCAAGGGCATATTTTGGGGGGAAAAACCACCTTGCTATAATTGTGTGGGTAGGTGGGTGTTTGCGCACGCGCACACACAATTATAGCAGGTTTTTTGTATATATGTATATGTATGTATGTATGTATGTATGTATGTGTGTGTGTATATATATATATATGTGTGTGTGTGTGTGTGTGTGTGTGTTTATTTGTGCTGATAAATAAATAAAAGGAGACTAGTATAGATCTATTTCAAGCTATTTAGCTCTCATCAGCTAGCCATACCCTTACTGGGATTTGAACCTGGGCTATATGGCATACTAGGCACACTAGGCAGAGATCTTAGTTAGTGGTCGTACTGCTTTGGGAAGTGAAGTCCACACATCTGGAAGGGCACCCAGGTTGAAACATACAGCTGTATATTTTTACGCCTGAATATTGACTCAATGAAGTCAGAATATTGCTCTCAAGGCAATAGAAGTCCCCAACCCTTAGAAAACGCTCCCTCTGCACGGCTACTGCTTGGCATTTTTCAAATGATGAATTATAAAGGAACACCAGCAGTTCAAAAAGAAGCAAAGGTCACATACCTTTCAAGTCTGGGCCACCTATTAAAATTAAAACTATATTTGGTAATAATGTAGTAGGCCTTCGGTTCTTAAATTCAGAGCAAAGTACATTTCAGCTATCAAAAGCTTAGGAAATAATAATGAAAGAGAGATCATACTGAAATCAATCCCATCCACGTGGATTTGAAAATCCCGTCAAACAGGACTTGCAAATGAAAGGTCTTGAAAGAGCCCATTCTTGATCTGTTTGCCAAAGTGAGGTTTCCACACACAAAAAGCCCTTCACACTAAGGCATTGTCACAAGGCATTACAGGCAGGCATTTTTTTTAAAAAAAAAAAATCTCCCTGCAACATTTCCTTGTTTTCCATCCCAACCTGGGGACAAAAATTGGCATAATTTACCTCCCCCCCTCCCTCCTAGGTTACTGGAAAAGAGAATTTCACAAGTGGCTCTTTCTCACTGCTGCTGGCCAAAGCCACAGAGCTAAATAATTATGTGTTTTTTCTCATAACAAAAGCAAGGACTATAAGGCTTATTTTGCCAAAAGAGATCTTTGTAATAACTGTCAGCTGAAGCTTCACGAACATTTGGATTCATTGTCATGGTCATAAACTACCACGGTAGTGAAAGGACTTTATATTTTTCTTTAGGTTGTCATCGGAAGACAGTGAGGAAACATCTTACTATTTATATGACAGTGATGACTCTGGGGAATTAGCCAAAACGTCTGTTCCTCCTGGAGAAATGGATCTGCTGGGGGAGATTTTGGATACCCTCAGTACACATAGTTCCGATCAAGGGAAACTCTCGGGGGCAAAAAGCTTGGACTTTTTTCGATCGATGGATGACATTGACTACAAGTCAAAGGTTAGTTGTTTTATCTTGTCTCTGTCTTAAATCTGAAATAAGCGTTGGCTTCTATGGCTGGTATACCTTTCTGATTATTTTTTTACCCTTTCTGCTCTCTAACCTTTTATAAGCCACTTACTGTTAATCAACAGGTCAAAATTTATATATATAAAATCTTCAAGCAAAGCTATCTAGTCTAAATCAGCTGATCACCCTTTTTATCTAAATTCATGAGTCATTCTGATATGATATATTTGATAAACATAATTGTATTCCTTTAAACATTACAAGAGTTACATTGTGTGTAAACGCTGCTTATAGATAGTTAAGTGAATATCAATTATTGTAAGTAATTTTAGTACTTTGTTTTGATATCGTCCAAGACAGCAATAAAATAATGTATTCCTCCATCCATTCAATCATGTATATCTTGTAATCATTCATTCCATTTTTCCTATCAAATGCAACTAATTTCATGCACAGGATTTTATGCACAGATTTTCAGGTCTATATTCCTTGTTATATCATGTAATCCATTCTAATAGTTGCTGCAAATTTTTTTAATTCCTCAGCTGACACAGAATTGTTTACAATGTACATGTATACATTGCATATACATAGTATAGATACACACCTATCCTCTACTAGCTCTCTTCTATGTTTATGATAAGCATACCTCCTACATAGAGTAATATTTAAAAACCAAGGTAGGCAGGACGTATTTTACTCTGTTTAAGTTGTTAACCATTTGCTAAGCATTCCATTCACTCTCATGAATGTTTTACTTCCGTTATCTGTCCCTCAGATCACATTTAGCAACCAACTTTCAGCTCCATATTCCATAGAAAAAATCCTAATCCAAATTGATTTAAATAATCTTACTCGCCTTCGTACGATTCTGATGATTTGTTAAAGAACAGAAATTAGGTCTACATTTTCCTTGTCAAGAGGAAACACACTGCACTTTCCAAAATGGGTTCATTATCCCTCTTTCAATCAGAATTCTGTCAAACATTGCAGTATCTTTCCCTTTGTATCACCCTTTGCAGCAATGATAGGTTGCACATTCCCTTTTTTTTTTATTTCAGAATAAATCCAACACTCCAAGTGAGAGTAATCTTGCCCTACTCTGTAGTGGTTGGAATCAGCGACAAGATGACAGCCATCTCACTGAGAAGAAGCTTCCTCAATCACCCAGGAAACCTGCTCCTTCTGGCGGTGTTAGAGAATCTGTTTTTGTGCTAAATAAAGAACACCCCAACCTCACCTCCAGTGCTGATGACTTGACCTCGCCTAATAATCATCCAAGATCTCCAGATTCACCCCAAGAAGCTATGCAGGGACATTCTGTGCAAACTTTGCAACTGAAGAGTAAGTGGAACGAAACACTAAGCAGGACCTCTCCAGATGAGAATTCACCAAGCTTGAGTCCCAATCCATCTTTCCTTGTTCCATGGGAGAGGGAAGCCCAAGATGGAAATGGAATTCTTGAAGAAGGTGGGCTGCTTGAAGAAGTGGTGTCATTATGTAAACTGACTTCTGCTTTCAGTCAAGGTTTAAACATTTCAGGGGACGGGTTTTCCAACAGCAGTGGGAATCAAACGTAAGGAACATTTATTTATTGAGGAGTTACACGCGTGGTAAACGACTAAAGGAAAACAACTCAGGATATCATAATAAAGGAAATAAGAGATCTTCAGGTTTTTAATCTTTAGTTTTAGTTGGCCTTATTTTTGTGTTCTTATCCTTTTATTTTCAGCCTATCTCCTTTGAATATATGTGCTCCACTTCAGTTCACAATCTAAGCTTGCATTTGGGACGGGGATGTATAAGAGAATCTGTTTGGTCTGGTGGTTAAGGCTAGGGGACTTTGGACCAGCCATTCTCTTTCTCAGCCCCATCCACCTCACAAGGTTGTTGTTGTTGTTGTTGTTGTGGGGCAATAAGAGGAGGAAAGAGTATTAGGTATGTTGTTGAGTTATTTATAAAGGATTTTAAAAAATCTAAAAAGAAAATGTGTTTACAAAACATGTTTAGCATGCAATCAGTTACAGCTTCACTCTGGGCATTTCCAGTTGTATTTCCAGCTGCCATGTATAAAAACCTGAAAATCACTGCCAGGCAGTATATGCAATACTGACTTCAGACAACATACCCTCTTAACTAAAGCATTCTAGAATCATGGTACTAGCTTGATTTCACATTTTAAGCCACAGCTGGTCTGTGTCATCAAACAGTTTTTAATAATTTCCTTTCCCTATATGCCAAAAGAAATGCATCAGGCAGACACATTTATCCTTCTGTAACAGAAACCAAGAAATGTAGCATGACTATTTTGGAACTTAATACGTCATCTGAAGGCCTTAAACTGAGAAGGGCAGATTTAAATACCTTAAAGGCTGAACTGTAAATACTTGGGGGGGGGGGGAAAGCCACCGTTATTTCATAGCTGCAAATGTGCTTGAGTAAAAAGAAATGCAGACCATTTACCAAAGAATGGAACTCCTACGTTTACAGATGATCACCAGTGTAATATTGTTTATGCGGTGATTTCAGTAAACTTGTGAGAACTTTGTTAAATGTCCTGACATTGCCAAGTACTACCCATCAGTCAGATGAGAATTCTTATATGTGTTTGTGCCACTTGAAATAGCACCAGTTGATAATGATTGCTTGGAATTTATTACAAAATATATGGTTTTTAATTTTTAACAGACAATGCCCATGTCTTCCAGACTCTGAAAAATGGTACTGTATATATATATAAATATATATATTGATTGATAACCATTGATAATGGTTAAATGCAGCAAAACGTTTACAACTGCTTTCAGAACTTATTCAATGAATATATTTTACATTTTGGTTTTCTTGAAATGCATATTTTAACCCCAGTTTGGAATTTTAATGGAATGAACCTTTGAAAGATGTAATATTTTTTAATTGAAAATAATCTGTTCTTCTGGAGATCAGGCCTCTTTACAGATAAGTTTTAACATGTTTGTAAAGTCATTGGGTTGTTGTTAAGTGTGCGGCTTAATCAAATTCTATACTTTTACTTTTTTAAACAACAAAGGAACAATTGCAGTAAAAAGAGAAATACATTAGACTCATGAGGCAAATCTTTTTTGGCTCTAAGCAAATGAGTCAAAGAATCACCACAAATTCTAGCATTTAGGTTCAATTTGTGAAGAGGATGATATCCATCTATTACAATATCTCTACCAATCACTTTTAAAATTGCCTTTTAAAGAATTTATTCAAGAATCAGTCATCTGGTGTATGTATGTATGTATGTATGTATGTATGTATGTATGTACGTACGTACATACGCACGTACATAAATACACACACACACAAACATATACATCACTGTTTAAAAGCTCCTTCAAATTTGTCACTAGATCAAATATTTTGGAAATTGTCAGAAGTGGTTTCTAGAGATACGTATAAAACAGCTGACAGACATTTAGGTCCTGTAGAATAGGGGTCCCCAGCCTTTCCAGCGGGGCGGTCCAGCAGTGGGAGAGAGGAAATGGTTCTGTGCGAGGGGCTTCACGTGCATGCAAGTGCACACAGCTCCATTTGTGCAAGCCCACACAAATGGAGCTTCGCACACCTGCCCACCCCTCATGCAAATGGAGCTCCGTCCGCATGCATAAGCCCACCACTCACACAAGAGGAGCTGCATGTGGCTCCCACAGCCTGAGAGTTGGGAGCTTTAGAAAGATGAATGTAGAATGTTCTCTCCCCCCCCCAGCACCTATTTTCTAGAATGTAAGGTTCTTTCTCTATTGTACTGTAGCATTTAATCATTCTCGAAGTCTAAAGTTTTATCCAAAACATGTTTCACTGTCTTGTATACAAGTTTCATTTTTAAAAAGAAGAAAAACTATGCATATGCAAACTTTCCACAGCAATTATATAAAGTGCTTCTTCTTCTTCTTTTAAAAAGGTTAAATCCTGCATGGATATCTCTATGAATCTCACACAACGAGGTTATGGGGGGGCGTGAGAATGAAAAAGCTTTAGCTAATAAAGTTCACAGATTTTCAGTGACTTTCATGGTTAGTGAATGTGATTTGGGATTCCATCTATATGGAATTCTCTCATGGTGAAAGTATCTATTGATGAGTCATCTCCATGAACTTTTTGAAAGAGAACTTTCTTTGGTCCTTGAACTTCCTCCTGCGCCAGATTTTATTATAGTTGTCATTTTTTCCAAGGGTAACAATTGTGCCTTAAAAATGTGTACTGCAATACTTGCCAACTCTTTTTTATTATTAACAAAAGGACGGAGTATTTCCGAAGGATCAGAGTAGCAGTTTCTCAAACTTTCAGCTAGCAACTATTCTCTTTGCCACCAGTTATTGTTTCAAAATTATCTGTATGGGCCACAAAAGTAATATTTCTATAGTGACAGAAATATTACAGTTCCCATATATGGCTGATTTAACCTATTTTGTATTCAGTGTTTGGAGGAAATTTAAATTAACGTTTTTAATATGGTGAGTTTTTTAAAAAATATTTTTAAAAATATTTCTCAGGAATCCCAGCAATTATTTCTATTGATCATGTGATTCTTTCTATAAAATATTGGATTATTTTACGGAAATTTAGCTTATTTATTCAATACCACAAGTCAGTCTAGAATGCAAATGAAGAGCCGAGTGTAGTTTGGGGGGTCAGCTCCCATCACACCAGCCGGCAAAGGAGTTTGCAGTTCATAACATCTGGAAGGCAGTAAATGGCTTATTCCTATTTAGAACAAATAATATATTCTTCAGTCAGGTGATTAGTTGGCTATTCAAATTTACTTTTAACGGATGATATAAAATCACTGTTAGTTGCTTTATACCCACCGTGGATTTTATCAGATATGCAAAAGGGAAATCTGTTTAGATCTTTATCTTATCCCCGAATCAAAAGGCCCCAGCAGCATGTAGAATAATTGTGCCAACAGCTTTCCTTAAGAAAGTCTTTTTCCAAGAATGGAAAATATTATTTTGAAAAATCAACTACTTCAGTTCAGAGTTGATTATGCATCTAATGGATGAGAGATTGCTTTGCTATCACTTTCCAAACCCTCAGATAGAAATTAAAATTGCTTAAACTAGAAAGATATTTGTGTTGAGGTACCTCTATGCCCCGAGAATTACATGGAATAATGTGTTGTAATGAGACCCACTTTGATGAACAGTAGAATAGTGAAAAAGGCAGTAGTTTTTTTTAGACTGACTTTTTAAATATTTCCCTAGCATTTCAAAAAGTGATATTACTACTTTTTGATTGTTGTGAGTTAGGTTAACAAAAACTGTCAGTATAGGCTGACTTTGCTCTCAAAGATGTCAACAGTGATTTTCCAATTGATTGAATAGATGGCTTGCACTGATGAGCACCTTTGAAAAGGTTAATTTTCACAGCTAGACTAGATAAATCCATCAAAAGATCTGTTAACATTGTTTCAGCCTCTTCAGCCTCTTCAGCCTCTTCAGCCTGCCCATCGTCTACTGGTATATTTTGTAGGCTGTATTGAACAGAGAACCAAAAATAGTAATGTTAGTTGCATTTGGGTGAGAAGTGTGAGTCCATTTCTGTTATCTCTTCCTAATATCAGTAATTTCATAAGTGAGTCCAGGCTCCTACTTAGCTAAAGAATTAGAAAAGCATTTATGTCATTGGGAGCTTTTTCTTACGTATCTTTGCTTCAATACAGCCACAGTGTAGATGCCACTGTTAACCTGAAACTTGTGTGCTGTGATAGAATGTAATTTTGAAGTCAGCCTTTTCAATAAGAGGCATAAACCTTTTTAAAAAACCTTTACAAAAAATCAAACTTAACAAAATTGCCAAACCTCACATGGGTTCAGCATTCTTATCCCTACACATTCTTCTGTGTGAAGATGTTGCCATTTTTTTTTCATATTGGGCTTTTGTGGGCACCATTTCAGGGTGCCCTGCTGCCAATCCTTGGTATAATTCAAGGAGAAAAAGGAATAAGATGTGTGACTGTTCTCCTAATTTGTTACTCTAGGAATTGTAAGGACTACAGCATACATCCATGATGGCTGGGGATGGTCAGAGTCGTATTCCCTTGTATCTGGAGGACACAGCCTTGAGGAGAGCTAGATCGGGGTTTAATTCACAAACATTGGTTGGCTTTGTTAGATGTACTGTTCAGTTTGTCCAAAGAAAAAGTCAACAATTTTAAAGCTATCACCTCCTAGACAACAATAAACCCTGTTCTGAATTCAAAGAAAAACATCACTGCCAAGCTCCTGCAGGCGTGTGAGTTTCCTCTTCATTTTAATATAATTTGGTGTTATTAGGAGCCATTTCTTTTCCTCTTCAAGCAAACAAAGGCTGAAGTTTTCATGCCTTATGTGAACTTAAAAAGACAGCTGTCCATTAAAGAAAGTCCCAGTGGTGCTTCCTTGTGCCCGAGGTCTCATAACTCTTTCAATCCGGGAATAAGAGTTAAGTTGTGTAATTATTCCCTCTTCTCCACTTATTTCAAATAGCTTCATGCAAGGCATCATCTTGCTGGATTGTGTTGCCAAGAGTTGAATGTGTCTGGTGCCATCCAACCATCCTTAACCACACTCTGTATCTGCCGCCGATATTCTCTCACCCTTTTATCTTACAGTGGTGTTGCTTCTGTGTAAGGGATCCAACTAAGTAAATGTGCTTAAGCGCCTCTTTTATATCCAGTATCACAAAATTTCTGAGCAATAGACCCAAAAGTGTTTTTTCAAAAGGTAACTGGACTTTGTTTTGGGAAAAACTGGGAAAAATAAAGTACAGTTGACTTTTGAAACAGTTCTTTTGGGACAACCATGATATGGATGACTGAGAATCTCCATAAATACTGAGCAATAGGAATTCAAATTATCCAAAACGATAGTTTGATGTTCTCAAGAATCTGAAATAATGCTTCAGGAAAAACATTATTTTAATGTTACGTGTTTGCTACTTACTGACATTGGGGGAGGCTCAGTAGAAATATAGGTCCTGCTATTAACTGCACCATATGTAGCAAGGCATGAATATAGAATCAGTATTAATGGGAGGAGAGAAGAGAGAGAAGTTAGTGTAAACTTTCAAACTGAAACACTGATCCTTTTTAAGTGGCTTCTCTCAGCTCTGCCTTCTTCCCATCTCAGATGTAAGTAAAGCATCACCTAGGATGTGGGAAAGTGCTGGATTAAAGAAAAGTGTTTAATTTTGTGCAATATTTTTCCTTATATTTGTCTGTGTGCATGTATGTATTTTGACAATTAGAAGCACCTGTTGCTTTCTCCGTAGGTCTTCGAGATTGCTTTTCACTCTAGTATGTTTCTAGTTTTGTTTCACAATTGTGTTAAATTGTGTGTAGCATCTCATTACAGTTGTATAGTAAAAAGACGTACAGTACATTGTCAGTGGGCAAATAGCTTTTAGTCGATTGAATTTGAATAGGGACATCCTATTATTGTGTTATAATACAAATCTAAAATTTTGCCAGTAATTTAGTAGACCTCAGACGCTTATAGCTAGAAATACCTGTATTGCCCACATTACTTTCTAAATACACAACAGAGAGAGATTTCTGTTAATTTACTTGTAATTGCTGATCCTGTTTGCCTCACTGTTCCTTCACCATGCAAATAAATAGCTGCTTCTTGCAATTGATACCAGATGGCAATGAATGGTCAATATGTATAATTTTTATGATCCAGGGTGTGACATCTCTGGTTGTGATAAATAATTTCTTGTTTCAATACCTGTTGCCCTTACATTTGGATTGTTTATTTGGTTAACTGTTGTGTATTTCTTGTATATATTTTCTTCCCATGGCTAAACGTTGATCAAGAACTACTTTGAATTGACTTACTTGAGTTAATTGAAGCACTGTGTAATCTAGTCCTGATTGCAAGTAGCAGATAAGCACTGTTGTGAATTTAGTGTTACATACCACATTCCTCGTATTGTAATAGTTGTGGTCCAAGAGTGTACTTTATTTATGTTACGGTGTGTACATAATTTCAGTAATGCAGCACAATTATATATTTATGACCATTTTCTTGAAGAAGAGAATACAGGAAATATTCATCTGAACAGAACAAATAATTCAGTGCCTGGTTTATTATTAAAACATTTCTCAGAGTTGCAGAAATCGTTTTTGAAATTATGTTATGAATGCTGCAAACTAAGCAACAAAATCCAGGATGATTTGCCCCAGAATGGGTTTCTACTTCTCTTCTACCAATATAAGAAGAGCCGAGGTGGCGCAGTGGTTAAATGCAGTACTGCAGGCCACTTCAGCTGACTGCTATCTGCAGTTTGGCGGTTCAAATCTCACCGGCTCAAGGTTGACTCAGCCTTCCGTCCTTCCGAGGTGGGTGAAATGAGGACCCAGACTGTGGGGGCGGATATGCTGACTCTGTAAACCGCTTAGAGAGGGCTGAAAACCCTAGGAAGCGGTATATAAGTCTAACTGCTATTGCTATTGCTAGAACTATTTGAAAAGGGACTAGAATTGTATTATTCATGAAACCAATATGGTTAAACCAAGTTGCACCAGTTATATAGAGAGAAATAAAAATATTTCAAAAAGAAAATGAACAATAGTAGCCAATCACAAAAAAGGGACAGATTTTTTTTTTACTCCTAAACAAGGTTTTTTTTTACAAAAAAGATATTCAACATCTCCACTATCTTCCAAAAAGTCCCCTTTGATGCAGCTGTAAGGCAAACATCAGCCTCTAGCAATTGATTTGCACCAATGCCTTTGGGTCCACAAACTTCCTGGTGTAATTGCAGGGAGCATCCTGGGAGGCCACTGACATTCTTGTAAATGAGGGTTTTGTCATGTGCTCAGCCCACTCACTACTTTATGAATAAGGAACTTTTTAAAAATTCTTCTCTTCACTTGCTGTCCAAAAATGTCTCTTGCCAATCAGAGGTGGAATTCAGCCGGTTCTCTCCGGTTCAGGTGAACTGATAGTGGCGGCTGCGGGTAGTTCTGCCCCCCTGCCCCAATGCAATGCGTGAACACTGCACATGTGCAGAAGGCGGTACGCAGATGTGGCCCGTGCTCTCACACTTGTGAACCGGTAGGGAAGGTGAGTGAATCCCACCGCTGTTGCCAATGATATTGTCTCTGCAGGATGGATAGGAAGCAGGCCTCCTGGCTCTTAAAAAGAAAGAAGACGAAGAAAGAGACGTTGTTTGAACTTAGCAGGCAGGCTGTGCAGGCAAGAAGTTAAATCTCAATCCAAGAAAGGTTGAAAAAGATTCCTGCCTCAGTAGCTCCAGGAGAGCCACTTCCCATCAGCATAAACAAAAGGGAAACTTTAATAGACCAACAATTTGATCGGCTATAAAGCAGTTTTCAAATGAACCTGTGAAGGTAAAATTACGAGATAAAAATCAGCCGCATTGTAAATCGGTGTTAGGAATGGATCCTGGCTCTGAAAAAGTATAAAATGCTGCTCTTGGAGGATAAAAACTGGAACTTTATTTTTTTTTAATTCGTAGCACCTCTGTATGCACTTTAAGTTGACCCTTTGGGCTAATGTTTATACAAAGTATTTGATTGACTTCACATTGCCATAAAGTGCCCCACTTGTGTAATATAAAATGAATTAAAAATAGCAAATGTCAACAATAAAATATAGTTGTTGTTTTTTTCATATTGCTTGGAACTCCAGACACAAAGTCAACAGGCTTGAAAACAGGAACATTGTTATGTGATTTTTAGCATATTTCTCAATATATAGAAATCAAAATGAGCTTGCAGTTGTGCACATTTTACTAATCATGTCAAGTGGAAGAATAGAAGATATATATATCAAGGATGCCTTGACTCTGGAACTTTTGTGCAGAATAGAAAAGGGTTCTAAATACACAGTTTCCTGTTTACAGTTGAGGAAAAAGGGTTTCTAGCAAAACATTTCTCTCCAATGAAAACCTTTCAGTACCCTCACTGTCTGAATAGCCAAGTCCTTGTGTGCTTCTGAACCATTAAAGATATCTGCGATGCATGTTAAAGAACATGAGATTATGAAATGTTGAAAATTAACCCCATCACTTTCGGTCTCGTCAACGGGAGAATGGCATTTCTGTGGATGTAGCCTAGTTTAAGCAAGATGGCAACACATCCAAAAGACAAAACACACACAAACGGAACTTGACACAAAGTGGGCATGGCAGACAATGTGGCTGGCACAGAATCCAAACAATAGCCATTCTCTGGAAACAAAGGGCAGGAGCTGCCCACCATAAGAAGCCCCATCCAAGCTGCCAAATCCAGATGGGTAGTTCTGATCCTTGGGCAGTCTTCTGAGAGAAAGATAAGTCCCCTCCATTTAATCATAGTTTTAGCCTGACAGTTACAGTGGGAAGCATCCCCATCTCCAGCTTTTATCCTGTGCGTGCAGATAAGAAAGAGAGGAATGTATAAATACTATAAGGATAGAAATGCCTTTCAAGTTCCACTTGCCAAGATCAGAGAGGTTGTCAGCCTCGTGCAATCCTTTCTTCCACTAGAGGTACTTGAAGTCTACTGCTAAAACATGTCTTGTTTTTTAAACAATATGCTGTGATTCTAAAACTTTGGCTGCATAGAAATATTCACAAAGGAATCAAGAGATCAAATATATAATAAAAGGCTTCTTAGAGCCTGTCAAATACCAGAATCTTTCACTACTCAGAAGGAAACTTTTTGGAGCTGCACCTAAAAAGGAGTTCAGTCAACTCCTTTCTCTGATTCATTGCTTCTGTATTAATGAGAATTAACTACATTTGTAAAACGGAAATAAAACGTGTAAAATCCATGATGCAACCAAAGAATGTAAGCACTTTCAGCTTGGGTGAATTTCACATTCGACCCTCCCATTTGAAATTATTTGGTGAAATACGTCCCCTCTCAGCCGGTCTAGGAACAAAAGGGACCCAAGACACACACTCAAACGTGGCAAAACTCAGCTTTCATCCCTGCAAACAGGCCGGAGCCTCAGAATGCAACAAGTAGGAAACATGTCCGCTTCCCATCATCTTTTTAGGTCTCTGAACCCGGCTGCCCATACCCACCAGTAACCACCATCCAGTGGTTGGTGTTGGGGCTGCACATATCTGGCCCCCGCAGTAGCCACCAGGGCCGACACCCATCTGGTGGCCCTGATGCGCCTTGTGCCCAGAACAGCCCACCACTGTAGCGCGTGGCCACTGTAGAAGGCTGCCAGGTCCACTGGGTTCAGCGGGGGATGCCTCGGCTGTTTGGTGGTGTCAAATGGGCCACTGCCAGCCAGATCTGATCAGGTGGGTGACACAGGTTTGGAGGGGAATGCCTTGGCCGTTTGGCACCATCAGATGTTGGTCCGCTGCCAGTGAGCCGTCCCCTCGCTCATCACGCCCGCTGCATCTCACCCAGGTATGGCGAGCCCCAAGCCGGGGCTCAACCCCTACAGCAATTTACATCAATCAAACAGTAGCACAAATAATAGCAGCAACAACAATAATAATAATTTAACAACAGCAATAAACCTATAGATTTATGCATCCGTACTTTTAGGAATGTAGTACTAAATATTACGACTTTGAGGCTGTTCCTCAACCTCGTATGTAATCCAAAGCCAATCCACATTCTGCTGTTGCCAGAGTTTCAAATACAACTTCTAAAGACCTGAAGAAAGAATTTTCCATTCTGGATTCCCTGCATTTTTATCATCATGATGATCATAACAGGAAAAATAACACTATCAGACCCTGGAATTTGGATTGAATGTGACAAGTAAAAATATCCCCACCTCCAAATCTTCCCATGTACATAAAAACATAGTAGTGCTTCCAGTTATGATGTGGGTTTCCTGGTATGCAAGGAAAGCTAAGGGGAGACTCTGGTTTTTCATCATATGAGCATGGGAAATTGGGGGATTCCCTCCCCAATGGGGGGAAGGAGAGAAATTGCTAGAAGCTGAGTCTTTAAAGCATGTTCCCCCCCACCCCCACACAATTCTACTGGATATGTGGCAGTTTAGTTACATGTAGGAGTCAACAAGTCCATTCATTTTATTCATAAACATCAGATCAGTGGTGGGCTTCAATTTTTTTACTACCTATTCTGTGGGCATGGCCTATTTTGTGGGTGTGCCTTGGTCATGTGACTGGGTGGGTGTTACTAGGCGGGTTTGGTCATGTGATTGGGTGGGTATGGCGAACTCTATGTCACTCACATGGAGGGGGACCTCGGCTGGCTTCTCCTTGCCCCTCCCCTCCCAGCCAGTTCTCACCTTGTCTTGCGTGTCATGGTGGGAGAGGAAGCATTTTCAAAGTCATCTTCCCCTTGAAACTAGCCAATAAGATGAGATTTTGCTGTAAGAAGACCACCTGATGTACATTTCCAAATATTGTTTATCACCATTCTCTTGGTAAAACTGAGTGGCGAGATTTATAAAGAATAACAGAGTCGGAAGGGACCTTGGAGGTTTTCTAGTCCAACCCCTGCGGAAGCACAGGATGAGACCCTATACTATTATGGACAAATTTCTTCTTAAAAACCTCCAGTGATGGTATGCCCACAATTTCTGAAGGCATCCCATTTCTCTGATTGTTCTGTCAAGAAATTTCATAAAATTCATAAACTTACACTCAAGTCAATTATGCACAGGATTACACTGCCCTGTGCTATATAGATGCCCAATACAATAGATTGGAAAATGCAGATCTCTAGACAAATAAAAGGAGCCTGATTCAACCAGAGTGTTATCTTGTGATCAGCAAAACTCAGAACGCAGGTGAGCCATTGTGAAGATTCTCCCACTGAAGCTAAAAACACCATTGAGTCCTTCTGAAGTTCAGGATTACAGGGGGAATTACACCCAACAAACAAGCAAATTAAGACTCCAGATGTGTGCTACTTTCATTAGAAAAACATCACTCACCCCCCCATAGGTATTTTGTCACCCACTTCCATCATTGTTTCCATATTCTCAGGTTAGATAGGGTGACTTAGCAGTCAATTAATATTAATTGAGCCGAGGTGGTGCAGTGGTTAGAGTGCAGTACTGCAGGCCACTTTAGCTTATTGCTAGTTGGGGAGTTCGGCTGTTCAAATCTCACCGGCTCAAGGTTGACTCAGCCTTCCATCCTTCCGAGGTGGGTGAAATGAGGACCCAGATTGTTGTTGGGGGCGATATGCTGACTCTGTAAACCGCTTAGAGAGGGCTGAAAGCCCTATGAAGCGGTATATAAGTCTAACTGCTATTGCTATTGCTATTGCTATTGCTAATAACAGCCACTGCCCCAGCCCGAGCCACCCCCATCTCTGGTACCCATCGAAACCCAT